GATAAATGCCACGTCTGTACAGACATCCTGCATGAAGTACTTACTTAAATTAATATCTGTTAGAAACATACCCAAAAGCTTGTTACAGTAAACTAACTTTTATCCGCGAATCCTTCCACCGATTCGTGGCCGGGATATATTGAACAATTGAATAGATGAAACGGTAACTCCGCCTGCGCTATCGGTGTACGCTGGCGGGACACCAGTGAGAGGTGATAAGTGAAGATGAAAGCAACTCAGTTTATCCGTCCTGATCAATTCCAAAGTAATTAACCACGATAATTTTTAGAGGGAACTGAATAGAGGTTGACCTGTTTTTTTTTATTATACAACTTATAATAGCAAACAAGCTGACGGCCCACCTGATAGAAAGTGGTATCCGTCACCTATAAACGTGAGCAGTACCATGGACATAAGAGAGTATACTGTTTCGTTACCATTCCTGAGGACTCAGATGTTATTCCTCTATACCCAGTAAATTCACGCCATATTCCACCCTTCAAACCGAAACACAGCCATGCAAACACTACTGCTTTACAGTTGAAACACGAATGGGACAGAGGTACCCAAGCAATCGACTTTTGTACAAAGTCTGTTTCCAGGGGGATCCACGTGGAGGTCGACCTGTTAGGGTATTAGCAATAGGACTGATAATCCGCATTACTTACAATCCCTTCCCCCCTTATATATGTGTATTAGGAATGTTTTTGCGTTTCTGACTATTGTTTTGACTTTACCCGGACTTTAGTCTTCGCTCCTTTTTCCTTCTGTCATCCCACCAACATAAGCTCCTTTATTCGCCTCTTACAACACCCACGGGAAAAAAGGGGTAGCCTATTCTATGTCGGAATCACACGACATAATCTCATCAATAATATATTAAGATCTAAGGAAACTACAAGTACCATCACACCGCAGACATATGAAATTTTATAGAACAAAAAATCGAATACCACAAACGAGTAAAGCCGCGGACAAAAACTAATACGAGTATATAGATATCGTAAAAACTAAACATAAGTAATAAAATTTATCAAATATTACACAGATTCTACCTAAGTTTGATCGTAAAACATATAAACGATGTCTCATATTTCTATAATACGACTCCCATGAGAACATAATGGTATCTTAATACACGAGGAGGAGTTTAACGCCATAGTTCACAGTTATTCTTAGATAGTAAATTGTAATTACACATTTTAGTCCAGTAATTGTTCCTAAATGGCTACGTTTTCATATTTATTGACTTGTTATATTAACACAGTACATGTACACGAGATCTGAATAGTAAAATTTGACGACAATATATATATATATATATATTTTTTATGCAACTTAGAATGGCAAACAAGCGGTCGGTCCACCTGATGGAATGTGATAACCGTCGCCTATAGATATGAGCAGTACCATGGACATAACAGAGTATACTGTTTCGCCCATGATACTCCCCATATGTTGCCATTCCTGAGAACCCAGGTGTTATTCTTTTGTACCCTGTAAATTCACTGTTATATCTCACCCTTCAAAGTGAAACACAGCCATGAAAACAACACGGTAGAAAAAATGAGAACGAGGTGCCCAAGCAAACGACTTTTGTACAAAGTTTCCCTCTGATGAGGTGGTATTCGTTTCTTTTTTTACATTTCAGAGATGTTTCTCCCACGAACGCTTAAGTCATGGAATGAGCTCCCAGTCGAGGCTTTTTCTAGATACAGCATGGGGCTCTTCAGAAAAAGGGCAAATATGTATTAGCGTTCATAGGCTACGGTAACCGTTTACCATTAGGTGGATCGTATGCTTCTTTGCCAACTCAGCGGTATAAAAAAAATATAAAAGACAACTTTCACAGCTTAATGAAACACTCTCTTTTCGAAAACTGTGAGTTAGATCCCCGCACAATTCCAATATTTCTCATCGAGTCTAATATATCTGTTAGTAATAGTTTTAGTTAAAATATGAGTTGTTTAATACCTTTAGTATAAGTTATTTATTTATTTACCTCTTTATTGCACTAAAAACATAAAAATATACAAAAACAATTAGAAAATTCAAGTGAAATACAGTAGCATAATACAGATCAAAATATATACGTAAAGGTACAAAAGGCGGTCTTATCACTACGGCATCTCTTACAGACAATCTTTGATTAAATGAGAATAGATAGAAATGGGTAGCTGGCGTAAAAGTACATTAATAACTCTTACATGTATAAAATACAAAAACATATATTACACAAAAATAACAAAATATGATATATAAATCTCTTTAGTGTGGGATAAGATGGTGTTTTGCCAGTTGTTCAGAGGTATCTTGTTATCCTGAAATTAATATTATATAGAAATGAAATATTTTTTAAAGATATTCATTTGTTTCTTTCTTATTCATACGTAAACGACAAAAAGGTTGTCTGTAAGAGATTGCCCTAGCGATAAGACCGCCTTTTGTACCTTTATGTGTATATTTCAATCTGTATTTATGTTACTGTGTTTCACTTGAATTATTCACTTGTCATTGTATATTTTTATTTATGGTGCAATAAAGAGTTAAATAAATAAATAAATAAATAAACGACTGAAATAATTTAAGTCAAATTTGGTATATAGATAGACCATATCCTGAAAACATGTTTTATTAATTCACACAAACAAAACTGCGGACTACAGCCAGTTCATTGTTATTAATTATTTCTACTAGAAATAGTAAAGAGACACGTTCAGTTTGATAAGTGAAGTGGTAATAAAAGTTACTGTTTTATTTATATATAAATATGTAAGTATTTTAGAATCGAAAGTAATACTGTGATAAGTAACGTTTTCCTAAAATGTTTAAAATACTCACCAACTTACAACTAACCAAACACCACCACCAGAGGGAGACTTTGTACAAAAGTCGATTGCGGGTACCTCTGTCCCATTCGTGTTTCTACCGTGAAGCAGTTGTGTTTGCATGGCTGTATTTCAGTTTGAAGGGTGGGATATGGCGTGAATTTACTGAGTACAGAGGAATAACACATGAGTCCTCAGAAATGGCAACGCATGGTGGGTATTATGGGCGAAACAGTATACTCTGTTATGTCTATGGTACTGCTCATGTCTATAGGTGACGGTTACCACTGTCCATCAGGTGGGCCGTCAGCTTGTTTGCCATTCTAAGTTGTATAAAAAAAATCTTTATTTTTTTCGAGTGAAAATATGAGTATTGAACTTTCCCTTTAAAAATTGTGTGTTGGAAGTGTGTTAATGCAGAAATAATAGTTTAATAAAAAAACATTCTATACACGGCCTGTTATTATTATTCATGAGCAAATCTAATTTGAAGTAATAGAAATAAATTGCCGTAAATTCATAATGATAATAGCTATGCAGTTTAGTTTTAGATAACACTAGCAGTATGCTATATAGCCTAGTCTGTGTCAATTAATCGGGACAAAAATTAATAGGTCCTGAATATGGCCCACGTATGTCCCAAATGACATTTTATAAAGCTGTTGCAACATGATTGGTTAACAAACTTATATATGTATATGGCCTATGAATGTACCAAATTACATTTTATAAAGCCGTTTTAAAATGATTGGTTAACAAACTTCTTTTAAAATTTTTATACTTACTCTCAACTTTCAGATGTTAACTAATTCGAGATACCACGATTATTTACGAGTAAACCAAAAATAATCCGCGTAATTCCACATGTTTTATATAAATTTTTAACATATTCTCGTGTGGCGAAATCATAAGGATAAATATAGCATGACATCCATAGTGACAATTTCATGATACATACATACATACATATCTGTCACGCCTGTCTCTCATTAGGGTAGGCAGAAACAATGGAACGCCAAATGCTTCGATTTAAACTTCAATTTCATAATGTATGTTATAAATGTAATTCTTTATAATAAATAGTCTATAGTGACTGTATTGTTGTTTCCCACGAGACAAGAGACAAGACAATTTTGAATGTAATAATTTATTTTCTTTTTTTTTTTAAATATATTTTAATTGGTGTTGTAACTATAATAATGAAATTTTACTAGTATTTATATTAAAAATAGATTTGCATGATATTTTACCATGGAAGCATAATAACTTAATATGTACCGTCTATAAAATCTATATTTGAGGAAATATTTTTTTTTATACAACATAGAATGGCAAACAAGCTGACGGCCCACCTGATGGAAAGTGGTAACCGTCGCCTATAGACATGAGCAGTATCATGGACATAGCAGAGTATACTGTTTCGCCCATGATACCCTCCATGCGTTGCCATTCCTGAGCACTCAGGTGTTATTCCTCTGTACCCAATAAATTCACGCCATATCCCACCCTTCAAACCGAAACACAGCCATGCAAACACAACTGCTTCACGGTTGAAACACGAATGGGACAGAAGTACCCAAGCAATCGACTTTTGTACAAAGTCTCCTTCTGGTATTATTATATTACTTCCTTATTGCACTCAACCGGGGAGTCTTATATTCAGTAGTGAATAAGAAATAAAACTGATTATGTTCACATAATATAGATATTAAAATTGAATTCGAATATAGGCTTTTATATGTACATATAAACATTCAACAATTTTTTTTTTAATCATTTCAATTGTATCAAGAATAGCTACCTTAATCAGATAGCTTAGAGCTTACTACAGAATACTTTATTTATTTATTATCTAGCTTTGTTATAGTCATAAGTCCACTTTGCACTGTGAAATTTTACATTTAACATGGACACCGAGATTCTTTGTAATCCGGTCTAATCCAGTAATTAGCTCGACCACTCGTCTAATTGGCCAACAAGGAAAAGCCACACATGTTAAAATGTAGATTTATAACTCTCTACATTACAGTCTACATTGTAGACGTTTTCTCTGTGCAGAAAAAGAGCGAGAGGAAGCTCTTCCGCGAATTTTCACGGATTTTCGGTCGACGGGCGTGAAAGGGGTAAGCCAGTGACGTATCACAGATAACGTTTGATGTATAGTGGAAAATGCAACGGTGTGCAAGCGATGCAACCTGCCCAAGTCAACACAAGTTCAAGAGTAAGCACGCGACTCGGCGAAAGGCACAATCGTCGCAGACTTCGAACCGCGCGCACGTTTACGTATATCGTGATTCTGTAACCGTCGCATTACGAAAAAAGTAATCGAGTGTTATTCGAACTGAAAAAGAAAACAATTTAAAATTAGAAGTGTTTTTTATTATTTTTAAATTTTGCGGCCCAGCAGCGAGTCAAAGGCAACGATGCGAAACTTCTTATGGTGAGTACAGAATTTATTAGTTACTTAAGCAGTTTAGCCCTTAACCGAGGGTTATCGCTGGGTATTGCACTCTAACATCATAAAAAGCTCGGAACGTCGAAGAGAACAATCCTGTGGTCGTTACATTTTATAACCGTGTTAATAAAGTTCTTTAGGAAAATTCTGTTAAATAGTTGGGTGGCAAGAAGGTGTAGACATCTTGACCATCCCCATTATTAATTTACGATCCTTTTATGACAAGTATTTTATTAAATACATGTACTTAAAACATCAATAAAATTTACATGTTTATTACATAAATGAATTGTTCGGTTTTCTACTATTTAAACAATAGACAAAATCTAGTTTAACGTGTTCAAAATTATGAACGTAAACAAACAGACGACCGCTGTGGCCTTTTAGTAAGGTCCCAGGTTTGATTCTCGATGAGATTAATTTAGAAAACGCACTTTTCTAAATCGTTTAGGATCTGAATGGTGTGCTCTCAAATGTTCATTGTTGTTATCTTAAGCTTCTCCTAATGCACGATACCCTAGGATACCAGGTATTTGATGTAATTTGTAATGAATTATTTTATTGCTAAAAGTTCGTAAGTACACATTATATTCTAATAAAGTTCGACTAGTTTCGGGACTATTTGAGACCCTTAATCGTGAACAGTTTTATCGTTAGTCGAGCTTTACCAATATAATTACTCATAAATTAAACCGGTAGTTAAAACATTAAAGTAAAATTATTTATTTTATTATTGATTTGTATTTATTTAAAATGGACTGAATTGCATTTAACAGTCTCAAAATTATAAACAAAATTAAAAACTATATAGAGCTTGACAGACATGCAATACATTTTTAATGTGAATATATATAATATATAAAATTCTCGTGTCACGGTGTTTGTTATCAAACTCCTCCGAAACGGCTTTACCGAATTTCATGAAATTTTGTGTGCATATTCGGTAAGTTTGAGAATCGGCCAACATCTATTTTTTATACCTCTCAATGACAAGGGTGACCCACCCCTAAAAAATTTTTTTTTATTTTCTTGACAATTTTTTTTATTTTTATTTAAATATGATTTAGCATTGAAAAATACATACAAATTTGCAAGATGACAATTGAATATAATAATTGTAGTACGATAAATATAATGTATATGGTAAAACAACGTTTACTGAGTCAGCTAGTATACATATACATATATATATATATATATATATATATATATATATATATATATATTGTAATTATCTTTGTATGATTCTTTAAATGGTGCAATAAATAGTAAATAAATAAATAATAAATATAATTTACTTCATATGTCAAGCATAAAAAAAAACAGGTTATTGTTACCCCACTCTTGTTTGTAAGGAAATAAACGGTTAAAAACAGTTTATAATAAGCAGTGTGTAGTGTAAGCATATTATTAAGCACGTTCATTAACTAACAATCCCAGTGCTGGCCACCCCACATACAAACAATGCAATCGCTATGATTTCTCATGTCGATAAAAAAACGCGTGTGAAACCGACTGGATTATACTTTAACTTCGAAGCTGGAAACTATTTATGTACCCATATATTTCATTTTTTTCTATATAGTTAGTGCATAAGAAAAATTCTCTTTCACTTTCTCCAAAAAAAAAGGCAATTAACACGAATTGTTTCTGTTAAATTAACATGACTCGTAATTTTTCTTTCCATTTGTCTATGCATCGTATGTACAGCGCCATCTTAATATCATCACTATTTTTTTTTGATGGGTAAAAATGGTATGGTTTTTTTTATACCACTGAGGTGGCAAACAAGCATACGGCCCACCTGATGGTAAATGGTTACCGTAGCCTATGAACACCTGCAATACCAGAGGTATTACGCGTGCCTTGCCGACCCTGGTTACCCGATATCGCTGGCGGGGCATCAGTGAAAGATGATAGGTGAAGATGAAGCAGGTCAGTTGGCCCATCGTGACGAATTCAACAAGAATTGTTCACAATGGTGTCCAGGGGGAACCACGTGGAGGTCGACCTAATAGGGCATATTGCTAGCAATGGGGCTGTCAAACTCCATTGCTAACAATCCCTTTCCCCCATATCATCACTATTAGTTGCTTTTATAGATAGTTGATAATTATTTAAAAGTACAGTAGATATAGAATTAAAAGATTAATTACATAGCCTTTAATATTTAAATACCGAAATCGGTGTGGATATTAAATATAGGATATAATATATAGGAGCTAGTTGACTATTTAACATTTATATATCGAAATTGATGTATAAATCGGGTATTAAATGTAGTATATAAAAGATAATATAATAGAGTTCAACTACTAATTCATATAATGAAAAAATACTGGTATAAGTAGGTATAGGCTATTATTTCTCACAGATAGATTTTAAACTGTGGACTTTTTTAATTAAGAAAATCGTCGTTGTTTTATTACATTCATGTTTTAATAATAATAAAAGAAATAAAAACAACATATTTAAGTAAATAAAAAGGAAATATAAAGTAATAGTTTTCACAGTATTTACAAAAAAAATGAAAACTTAATTTTAACATTGATTTTCTATTATTACTAATTCATTGAATGCGAACATACATATAGATACTTTTAAGTTTTGTTTTCCCGTGAAATAACATAATTTTTTGAGTTTAATATATGTATGTACTTGTATGACGCCTAGATATTAAATTATTTTTTCAAACTAACCTTAATCAACCTCCGTGGATGAATCAATACTTGCTTCTTGGCAGCTTTTTTTAACAAATAAAAATGGAATGATAATTCCTTATCGATATCCACCACCGGGACACCAGTAAGAGGTGATACGTGAGGATGAATGCAGGTCAGTTGGCCCATAGGAAACCGCGTGGTGGTCGACCTGATAGACTGTTAGATCTCATTACTAACAATCTCGTTCCCCCGTTTCCTAGCAACTGTGCAGTGCTGTATTCAGCTCCATATTTTGCGGCATCAACGAAACGATGTTGAGTAAATTGGTTCCCAAGTACGTACTTGGGACTTCATAGTCACGACTTGCATTGTTTTGTGGGTCAGTCACGAGGAATCCTGAAACTGCAAGGTCAACCGCTAACAAAGCGTCCGACGAGCGCCGTGTTTATTGGTCATATACATTACTTCGGGCCACGGGCTCGGAATTTCCTTCTTTTTATTCTTCTTACTAGTTTTTGTCCGGAATTTCGTACGCGTACATTATGAAAGTAGGTAACCACTTTTAGAAGATGTATGAAGATACACAATATTTTAAGTTTGATCTTCAAAAACACAATTGTGAAAACGGTGTTTAATTTGGTGCAGTAATTTTTAGCGAGATGCTGAAACAGACAGACAGACAAATATTTAATATTAATAATGATTTTCGCTTCTATTGCACTTGTTAAGACCCCTCACATCACTGTAAAAGAAAATATTCAGGAAATGTTACAATTTTATTATATTAATAAGATGTGATACTACCATTTTTTTTTTTATTTTAGTTATCGTATTAGATTTTTTTTTTTAAATAATTAAAATAGTACTTATTAAACTTCTTAAATAGTTAACTAAAAAATAAAAAAATAAGTTTAGAATTAATCTCACCTTCTTAAAATTTCATAATAATTAAATATTAATTTAGTCGGACTCAACCCTTTGAGATGTTATCGACCCTTGTACAGTATCGTATTACAAGCTCTGTAAAATGCAATGCCCACACGTGTTTCTTAATTAAAAAATAATTTCACACTTCCTAATTGACATTATTAGTGAAAATAATTACAAGATCTTATCTTTGGTAGGATCTAGTTTTTGTTTTTTTTTTTGTAATTAACTTCGGAGCATAGATGTAGAATAATATATTAAGATACAAAACCATGCAAACGAACGTCAGCGTGTACCTGAGTGGTTATTATTAGACTATGGTCATATAATAAATTTGGGTAATTCTGATTGTATTCACAGTACAAGAAATTATTAAGAACAGTCAAAAAAAAAAAAAAAAACTACATTTCAAGTGCTTTAAAAAATAAGATACAGATCCACAGCAACATTATAAAAAGGAACGATTTAATTATTTGTTTATAATGGTAATGGTAATAATCATTACTAATCTCCTGAAAAGAGTGAACGAGAAAGGAACATTAATTAAAATAATAGAGAATAGAAGAGGCAAAATGCTGGGCTACTTTATACGACATGACGATTTTTTAACAGTATAGTAGAGGGAAAAATAGAGGGCAAAAGAGGAAGAGGAAGACCGAGGAATAACTACATGGGACAGATAAAAGAAACACTAGGTGTCATGTCGTATAGGGAGGTCAAGGATATGGCCTGGGATAGAACTAGCTGGAAAAAGGTGCATGAATTAGTTACAACGACAAAAGGAAATGAAAAGAGAGGATAAATATTAGTGCCGTGTAGGTCCTGGCATAAAATAGGCCACCCCTTCCTTTCCCGTGGGTGTCATAAAAGCCAACCAAGGGAGCTATGGTCAAGGGATGGACAGCAGCATCCCTCTTAAAACATCATCAAAAGCCAATATGCGGTTGCCAACCCGCCTGCCAAGGATAGCAACTACTGGCTACCCTTTATGGAGGAGCTATGTTCAACAATCGATAAACTAAAAAATACTTGAGTAAGCTTAAAAATTCTTTCATGTACAGAAGGTTAATTTAACAGAGAACAACATAGTCAGTATTTTATAAACAAAAACTGTTCAAAATCGCAGTAGGTTGCTAGTGTACTATTTATATTACTTCTCAAACATGCTTGAAAATGTAAGCATTATTTTGACAATCTTCTTCGAGATAAATCAAAATTGCCGTACTAGCCAAATACATGCGGGCAGCGGCCGGCAAAAATTGTATGAAAATCCATATCTGTCGTGTTTTGCGGCCAGATAAATTACTATGTAAACTCATATCTGTCCTGTAATTTAAAAATGGAATGATCTTTTACTTCGAAACATGGCTACCAAGGAGGTAACTAATAAAAGGT